GGCTTCCTGCTCGCTTGAACCCCGATCCGGTTCGCCTCCTCACCTCGGCACAGCGAACCCCCGCTCGCCTTTTCTTCTCTTCGATCGAACGCCTCTTCTTCTCTTCGATCGAACCGAACAGCCATTTGAGAACAGCCATTCGGCTCTTCCCTCACGCACCGAAATATCATCCTTCAGTTAGATTCCGTCTCTGTTCCGAAAGCCTTTGTCTCATCTCCCTCGCCCGCCTCTGCCGCTCATACGCCTCACCTTCTCGCGCGACCCTCTCCCGTACTCGCCTGCTCACCTGCTCCCTGCTGCTCTGCTCCTCTGCTCGACCGAAGAAGCGCCTCTCCCGCTCCATCCCGTCTCCCGCATCTTCCCCACAGAGGACCGCTCCTCTGTTTGATCTCTCCATCCTGATCCCGTTCGCCTTCCCCATCGCCTCCACCGAAACCCTTAATCGACCTTGCCTTTCCCTCTCGATCCCAATTCGCCTTAAATCATTGCTGTCCCAATTGAATTTTCTACGATCGACATTAGCAAGGAGGCAGTGACAAGATTGCAACGAACACAGAGCCGAACTTTTTTTACTTCTCTTCGCTCAGCCTCTATTCCTACTGGAAGGTATGGTTGCATATGTACTTTTGTCTCAATTACGTCTTGAACTGACTCAAATGACAGACATGATATTCTTGCGATCTGCATTTTTTTAATGAGTAATTCAAGTTTGCCACTGTTTGCTTCTATATTCCTTGGAAATTGAAGAAATTTGTGACATTTTATTGGCTCATGCATAAACTGATAATGATCATTGTAACCTGTATTTCAGCATCATTTCGGCAGATGAATTATGTTAGTTTATACTAGCATTGATGATTTGTCTTCTTGGAATTTGTAACTACTTACATTTAAATGCAAAAGATGGTCATCTATGGGCTGCATAACTTTGATAAATTTCATTTTTTTAGTGAATCGTATTGAATGCCCTTAGTCCTTCTGCACCTTTAATGACATATGTTCTTTAGACAGTGATTTATCATTATAAACTGTCTCTTGAGAATTTATAACATTGTGTGTGGTTACTTTATAAAGTACATTGAATTTTAAAGTTGGGCAGTTCATCTCTTAGTTTTGGCATGACATGCCTATTTCTATAATGCTACAACAAGTCATGTCATTGATTGTTTCTATTTAGTGTTTTGTTCTCATACACCTACAAAAAGGCAATTTTTGTTGAGGGTTTTGCCTATTGTTTTTGGTGTTGAGTTTAACAATTTTATTTACTATTTTGAGGCTGGATTTGGAGAGCTTTATCTACTGTTTTGGGTTTTACTTAATTATCATTTAAACGTTTCTTTTTAGGTCGATCCACTTGTCGTTCCCCCCTTTTTGCTTTGTTAGTTTTGAAAGTGGATCAATCTTTTCTTTTCGTTTGTTTTGTTATTTTTACATGGTTTAGTCATAAAGATGGGAATTGATGATTTAATTAATTGGAAGATATAGAAAACCTTAAATCACCTTAAACATAAGTTAAAGTGTAGGTTTCCTAGAACTTTAAGTGTACA